CCGGGTGGTGGTGGTGGCCAAAACCACCCGGTACGAGTTCGAGCAGCAGCGGTACCGTTACGCGGAGCTCTCGGAGGAGGACCTGAAGCAGCTGGTGGGTCCCGGCGGCCTCGCCGTTGCGTTTGGGCTCGGCCCGGCCGCGGGACGACCCTCCTTGCCGAGGCGCCCTAGATGCTATGCCCGCCCCGCTCGCCGTCCCCCACTGCCTCTGGCTTCGCTCGTAGGTCCTCCCCCCACCCCATCGTGTGTGTGAGAGAGAAAATGAGGAGGGAGGAGGTCTATAGTGTTCGTGCAGAGACCCCCGAGGCGGGGACGTCTGGAGGAAGCCTTGGATGGGGGAAGAGGGATACCACAGTCGGTTTAGGGATTTATTTCTGCCCTCGCCACCCCTATTCCCTTGTTGGGAATAACTGCTCCAGGAAAGGTGGGCCGGTGACTGAAGTCTGGGAACGGCTCCGCAGGCCACCCTAGAAAGGGGGGCGCCTCTGCAGGCAGGGCGAAGGTACCGCGGACACACCCCCTTTTACTCTGCAGGACTGAGTTCTGGGACACTCCGGAAAGCCGGCCTGGGCGAGCCTTTACCATGCAGGAACGTGGTAGTCAAAGTTCTAGCAAACCCACGTGTCTTTGGTGCTGGGAAGAGCAAAGAAGAAATTTTGACTTTGAATGTAATTAATTAGAAAGGTCAGGATAAAGGCAGACAAACCTGATAATTATGAAATAAAGAGCCTACGTCTATAATGTAGCAGTACCTCCACAGTAGACATTTGGTATATGTACTTATTAATATTTTTGCAAGGTATATAAATCCATCCAAGGAAGAAACCCTGAATATTATGCCCCTTCCCTCTCCTTTTGAAACTTGTGATCTAATCTCCTCATCTGCCAACTTTAGGAAAAGGAGATACTACCATGAACAATATGTCCAGAAAAATCTCCATTGGAAATCTCTAATTGTTGACACTGCAACAAAGGGCTTTGGAATTAATTGTAACCATAATCTTGTAGAATTCTGTGCAAGAGCAGACAGCCTGGTCTAAACTGGCTTGTAATTTTCAATTTTTTTTGGTAATGTTTTGTAGAGGTATCCAAATAAAATTGTAAATCATTTTTGCGTAAGTACTGAGTCTATTTTCAGACTTAAACTTTTTGATTCTTTAATGAGTTAATTGAAGAGGGGCCCTGCATTCATCTGGTGGAAGTGCTAGGTGCAGGTTTGTTTTTGCCTTTCTCTAAGTGTTTGAAGGTAGCAATTTATAGAAAAAAAGTCGCCTTATTTAAAGAGTAAAACAGTTTGAGCAGCAGTTTGGAGTAAAGTGTGTCAGGGTGTGAAATTTGGGGTGAGTCAGGGAATAATGTCAGCAGGTGTTTCTCTTTTGGGAAAGGTATATCCCATGGGTTGTACTCCACATTTTGTAAGATCTACTTTTTAGAAACTCAAATGCCATATACCCATAAATGTGTTCTTCATACAATTTTATGGAAGCCTCTCAGCAGTGTAAAATAGTGCACTTGATTGGAATGTTCAGAGTATAGAGGTCAGGAATTTGGAGTTCTAGGCTCAGGTTCTGTATGGTTAACTTCTATCCTTTGAGTCCTCATTTCTCTGGGCCTCATGAGTGAGAACAATGCTTTTCGTGTTGTATGGTTATTTTTCAAAACACTTTCACCTAGTATGTGGAATTCTAGGGTTGGACTGGAGAGTCTCCAAGGCCCCAGAAGGGCTGGCATTTTGAAACTGGGTAGTTTTATTAAGGCCTCAAGAAAATGGGTGGCATCTAAATTAGATTAATTCTTAGGCCTCCTAATGCGATTGGCACTAATCAGAACTTTTAACATGCAGTCAAATCAGTAAGTCTAAAAATTGGACTGCGTAGTGGACTCGATATCTGAAGAGAAATCTCTAACAGGTAAATATTTGTCTATCACTAGGTAATGCTGTTCAGGATAAGAAAACTTTGAAGTAAAACTTCTGGACTACAGAACACAGTTTTGAAATAGTTGTTGTCATTTCAGTTAAACTTTATTGGGTTAGTTCCTTACTGATTTGAGTTTTATCATTTATATTAAGGCCAGTATTTAAAATGAAGTAGCATTAGGTACTCTAGACCAGAGATCAGGAACAGGCCGAATAATACTAGGCCATGTAAAGTTGTCCTAAAATAAGATTCTGTATTAGGAATGGGAAGATGATTAATATTTTTGCTATTTGTGTTGCGGGTAAAAGATACTAAGGTATAATAATCATGTGAATTGGGTATAAAAGAAAGTGGGTTAGTGCTTACTTTAGTCTTTGCATCATAGCTGCTTTGTCTATAGTGTCATGGTAACCTGAAGTTTATCAGAGGGTTCTCTTTTTCAGTGGTGGTGGTGGTGGTGGTTTTGTTGCAAATAGATCTGTTAGGTTGTTTGTTAAAATGCAAAGGGAAAATAATGGATGGAGTGCCGGTATAATTTTATATCCTGAAGCCTCATGGTTTTTTAACTTTGTAGAAATGTAAACAAATGGAGGAAATATTTAGTTGATAAAGAATGTACAAAATAGGTTTACATCTTTCAAACTGTCAGAGTTTGACTTTCAGTTACTTTCTTATTGGTTACATTGCTTAATGTTTAAATCTTGCTTTTTTTTTTGCCTAACTGATCAATGACTTCTCTTGTGAATGGAAAATTCCTAGTCAAGGACTTTACCTCTATGGCTCGTGACTGTGCAAGGACTAATTAAACTATTACAATTTACTCATAAGAGATGTAGCTTTTGGCAAATGTGGGACTTTTTCAGGAGACTCACACATTAGAACTTCAGATGAATCAAAGCGGATTGGAAAGGTTTTGACGTCAAAACATGCCTTATTAGCAAAAAAGAAGGTTTTATTTAAAAATATTTTGGTACATACCAAATAAGAAATGAGCAGTTTCTACCCTCCTCTCCCCTAACTCCGAGCCCTACAACCCCAGATGCACCCCTTTTTAATGGTTTCTGTTTATAGTTTTAAAAAAATTATTTTCAGAACGGGATAGAATAATTTCATTTAGCAGTCCCTCTATCATAGGATTCAACTATTCCTTGTTCTTAGCAGATTCGGAAGCTGTAGTTCTTTGGATGTGGTTTCCCTTACTCTGCATAGCTTAGATTGTAGTTCTTGGGCAGGTGATACTTTTGCCATGTGGTGTGCAATGAGTGTAGTGTTTGCAATGCAAATATTTATCAAATTAAAGAACATGATCTGGAGTACTCCCAGAGCTTTCTAACGGAAACCTCACTCCTCAAATCTTGCAGATACAGGCACCAGAGTGGCCTATCTAAAGTGAACATCTGGCCATTTTACTCTTCTGCAAAAGCTCTCATAACCTGTAGAATCACCTAGGGAATTAGTTAACATGCAGATGCCTGAACCTTAGCTCCCCCATGAGATTCTGATTCACTTGATGGAGAACTCCCAGACTCTGCCTTTTTGAACCATACCCTTAAGACTGCCAATTCAGCTTTTTTTTTAAACAAGCCTTCCAGGTTTGCAAGTGATCTCTGGAACACACTTTGAGAAATACTGCTGTACGTGAACCTTCACGATCCTTAGTGCCAAACGAGGCCTTTCATGAACTAGCTTTTCTCAACCTGTTGAATTTCATTTCTGATTATTCTTCTGTTTCCTTCCAGAAATAATCTATACATACAAATCAACACGGTGAAATTTTCTTTGTCCTATCCCTTTTTGCTCAAAGATAACATTTATTTAAGCTATTCTGCATCATGTTCTTTAGTAGTATGCCAAGCATTTCATTGTGTGCAGATGCCATAATTTATTAAAATACATTCTATAATGAATAATTGTGTTAATTCCTACCTGTGTGAATCAAGCTCTAAGATAAATACTGAGAAGTAACCTTCATCCTCTAGCCAATTTGTTTTTCCTTGAGGTCAGGTTCAGACATTACTCTCACAGGAAGCAATTATTGGTAATCTTGCTGTGCTCCTTTCTGGCCATCAAGGTTCTGTTAGGTATTCTTCACTGTATCTTCATAATACTTATGTTTTTGAGCTTCCCACTTTAGAGTATTTGTGAATATTTTCTTCTCTAGACTCGAAGACAAGGACCATATCTTCTTATTAAATTGTTACTATAAGTAGTCCTTGGGAATACAGGGAAGGGAGAAAATAGTTTGGGGAAGGGCAGGAATGAAGGGTAGAAAAGAAGACCTTTAAATAATTTGTTTTTAACTATTAAGTAGATCTTTTAATAATCTTAGAGTTTAGATTTTCAGTTATGAAATATTTCTGCCTTATAGAGAAATTTCAAAAAGTTGACGCCTGTTTATCAAACTGTCTAGACTTAACAGATATTTATTTAGCCATATTTACTTTAGATATTTTAAAAGGAAATGTGGTTATAACTAAAGCCCCATCCTTCCAGTTTTCCCCTTCCCTGTTTCCCCAGAGGTAACCACGAGCCTAAAGTTGTTACATATACTTTTCCTATGCATGTGTTGTATATTTATTGATAAGACTGTCTATAAAGTGTATATTGTTTTGCCTGTCTAAAAAGTTACATCAGTGATATCATAGTCTTTAAAATATGTGCCTATTCTACAGAAATTTGTTTTTCTTCATTAGAGGTTTTGAAACTTACCTATTTTGATTTGTAATCGTTTTAACTGTTGTATAGTATTCCACTGTTTATATAATTAGGTTTCCAATTTTTTGTTTTGTAAAATGCTGCAATTAGAAGTACAAATAATTTTTCCGTAAGCATCGATTGACTCCCTGATTCCCCATGTCCTCATCAGCACTTGGTAGACTTAAATATTTTTGCCAATGTGATGAGAGTGAAATGGTATCTTTTAATTTTAGGATATTTGAATTGAATATTGGAGAAAGAGGAATAATTTATATGTGAAAGAGAGAAGACAGTACTAGCAAGATAGTGGGAAAGTTCATCTTTCTGCCAACAAAAAGAACTCAGATGTTTTTGACTATAAGCCACAGTCAAAAATTTTGCATCATGACTTAGTACATATAGTCATATTTGAAATAAAAGATAACATGAAACAATTTAGTTTTATTACATGTAGTATAGTTTATTTTCTCTTTAATAATGCCGATTGTGATCATTAGATTTATGTGGCAACATTGTAACGGTTGTTTGAAAATCATTGCTCAAGAATAAGTATATTAACTCTAAACAGGTTGGCTGGACCTTATAAAGGGGTTAAGTGTCATGTGAAGGAGTTGCTTTTATCTTGTGGTTTTCAGTTTGTAGCAGCAGAATACAACCCTCCCTTAGCCCTACTCTTTTCCTACAAGAGTGAAGTGATAGGGTCAATTTTTTTGAGTCTTCAGTATCTGGGAGTAGCATGACAGGCTTCTCTGGTAGTGGTTAGGTTGTGGGTATTTACAGTATCCAAATAGGATTTGTCTTATTCCCTGGTACATGTTCTGTATTGTCCAAACCAAAAATTGGTATAGGATAAAAATCTGGACTAGGAATTGAAGTCTGAGGGCCAGTTACTCTTAAGTTTTATTTATAGCAGTCGTTAGAAGCAGTAAATTTGATGAAATTATTCTAATAGACATTGTACATTTGAATTATTCCTCTGTCTTTAGTTTTCAGTACCTCCGTTTAATACATTTGATTGATCGCAACTAATGTTTAAATGACCACAATAGGCACTCATATTTGAATAAATTTAAAAATTTAGAGCTTAATTTCTAGCTGTGTAAAGTAGTCACTCTCAAAATGGCCTCATGAGTTGTAATTATTATGACAAAATAATATAGCATAGTAACTAATCTGCTAGAAAATCAGAGCTTGATATTGAGCATATTATTTTGAAATCCTGTTAGATATCCAGAGAAAGATGTCAAATACCAGTTGGCTACATTCATTGGGAGCCAAGCCCTAAAGATAGGCCAGGGTTAGGGATAGCAATTGGGAGCCTTTGGCATCAGGTTAGGGATAGCAGTTGGGAGCCATCAACATACTGATCTATTTTAATGAAAGCATTAAACTAGAGTAAGGAAAGAGTAGGGAAGAAAAGCATTGCGATCCATGTTCATTGAGAGGCATTTAGTGCAGTTTTAGTTAATTGGCAGTTGGATCATGATAGCAATAATCTGAATGTTAATGCTATGTTCACTCATATTCAGAAGTACTAAGAATAGTTTTTCAAACCTGGCTTATGTTGATTAGTTGATTAAATGAAAGATTATCTAGTTATTTGTCACTGCTATCCTTTAAAAAAAATTTATCATTGGTTTGCTGTGTCTAGATGTAATGGGACTAATGTCTAGGCATTAAACTGTATCTTTGTGAGTTACCATCTATGTATTATTTTCAAATACCTAAATAGGTCATTCTTCAGCTACTCTTTTGAGGAGCATGTATTTCCTTTTAGATTATTTGCTGAGGACAAAACCATTTAGAAACTCTTAACCCAGTCTGTGGCCATGCTACCCTGAACAAGCCCGATCTCGTCTCATCTCGGAAGCTAAGCACGGTCGGGCCTGGTTAGTTCTTGGATGGGAGACCACCTAGGAAGACCAGGTGCTGTAGGCATAAACAATTAAAAAATAAGGATTGTAAACTGACAAGGTCCTTGCAATCTGTGAGGTCAACCAAGGGTTGCCTCCGCCGCCCCCGCAAAAGAAAAGAAAAGAAAAAGAAACTGTTATTGAATTGCTTATCGATCAACAACCCAGTACTCATAAACAGAAGATTGAGAAGATAAGTATTAAAACTTTAGCACAAATTATCCCAGGGCAAAGATTATATGTAATTAAAATTTTCTTTTTGTATGCATCTTCTGTGTTGTATTACTTTTATAACTTTCTTTAAAAAGTATTTATTTAAAATGCTATCTAAAAATTGTTTTTACTTTATAATTTGGTAAGTAATTTAAAACAAAACATTTAAGATTTTGGACAAGTACTTGAAAAACTGATTTTGTATCATGAAGAGGCAAGGTATAAGGGAATTTGGAGAAGGAAAGAAAATATGCCTTTTAATTCTAGCATTTACTCTAGTGGCCAAATTTCCTACTTGATTAGATGGACGTTCATTCAGGATATTTCTAAACTTCCCTCCCAACTTTTTACTTTATGGATTATTTAGAAGACATACTTTAAAAGGGGAATATTAAAGGTAAGATAGTGACATTATAAAATGTCACTCAAATAGACTAGGAAGGATAATTCTTAAAGGATATATTTCTTTATAAAGTTATCCATTCTGAGGGAGCTAACCAGTCATTTGTTTGGATTGCATATGGTAAATACCAAATAGAGTTCATAAATCTAATATAACACAAGAGAGCTGCAAGTCCAAGTGGAACAAAGGTCAGCTAACTGCCTTCTATAATAGTTTATCTTTGGCGTTCAGGTAGCCATATGCAATGTGTTAAAAAATCCATTTAAATAAAGAAAACACTCAAGCTGTAAAACATGAAAATTATGAGATTCTGTTGACTACATGATTCCGGAAACAATGTGGTATTTGGTATTAAAACCAAGTTACGATTTTCTGAAATCAGACTTTCTAGTAAAGTTTAAGTGTTGAAGTTTCGCAGGTCATCATTAAAATGTGCCTTCAAAAAAAAAAGTCCATTGTATTTTATATATGGCTTTTTAAAGAAATGTTACGCTATCTAGTATGTAATAACACAAAATTTGTCTTATTTTTGTGCAGCTTGCATTAAAAGGCTCTAGCTACAATGGACTGCTTGAACGACATCATATTCACACCAAAAATGTAGAGCATATTTTAGATAGTTTACGGTAAGTCTCTGAGATTGGATTTTGGGTGGGTTTTTGTATTCAGAAAGTCCAGTTTTTCTTATTACTAGCAGCTAATCATTAGATTTTAAATAAAGATTGCCATTAAAACTCATTTCGGTTAATGGACTTGATATTGTGGTTAATGGACTTGATATTTTACATTTCTAAGGAAATTTTTGTTGTATTCTGAAAATTTCACATATTTTTAGTTATTTGGTCTGCCTGAAAAGTGTCTTTCTACAAAGAGTTTTGTATGCAATGGGCTTCAACTTTCATGTAATGTTTTCTTTAACAGAATACTGGACTATATGGATGTTCATTATAATTTTCGAATGTTTAAAAATCACCATTATAGGAATTTCAGTTAATTTAGGACTAAATGTAGTCAGTTTATGTGTATACAAGAGAATCAATGTGAGAACATTGCAAATTAGAAAGTGTTTTAGTCATTGTTTTAGTGTCTGGCACTCAATATTTGTTGGATTTTAAATAATGGCTGTTTAGTTTTATAATAAAAAATTGTCTCTCAAGGTGTTAGTCTTCTAGGCCATTTTTGTATTAATGAATTTTAGCATCAGAAGTAGAGAACATGAAATTCTCATCAATATTATTATTTGTCAGCAGCTATAAAATGTTTTTAAAGAATACTCATATGCCTCCTGATTTAACAATTGGCTGTTGTAATTAAAAGAAAAAGAAGCTAACCTTACAAAGCTAAACATAAATTTGTTTATAAAACAAAATTGTTTATATCTCCATTGTAGTAATGGAGTTATGTTATTAGTGGAAATTTGATATAACCTTTACTTTTTTATTTTAGGAATGAGGGAATTGAGGTTCGTCTAGTAAAGAGGAGAGAATATGATGAAGAAACTGTTCGATGGGCAGATGCTGTGATAGCTGCGGGAGGTAATAGTTTTACAGAGGCAAAGATGTTGGAGTACAGAGATGATCTTTAATGCTCGTCTTTCCAAATACTCTATGGTCAAGCTGTAGTGAAGCCTTCAGAGTCCTGCCAGGAAACAAATTTTTGGGTTTTTAGGATCAGATTTAAAAAGATCTGCTTTGCATGACATTTTACTTTTTTAGTGAATGATGTTACTGTGAGGTTCCCTGCATTTATTTCTGTGTGTCTATATAAAGTGTACATTTAACTTCAAATATTCAAAGGAGTAATTGTAACTGCATTTTGGTTTATTATGCAAGTTTTAAACAAAGTTGAAGTTATTTAAGAATTTAATGAAATTAGATAAATTCCATTCCTCTGTTGCCCCAGTATACTTACACTTATTTTTTTTTTTCTGAGCTTTATTATTAAGTTAGTGAACAGTCTTTCTAAAGCTTTAAATTGACAGCATTTGTTGGAGAGAAAAATCCAAAGTTGGACACTGTTGGATATATTCTCTTTAAAATAATTTATGAATTTGGACTGACATTATGAGAGAAGGAAAGAGAATTGGCTAATAGAAGTGACAGGATTAGAGCAATACTTCTCAGCTAGGGTATCCTACTGGCATCTAGTGGGTAGAAGCCAGCGATACTGCTAACCATCTTACAATGCACAAGACAGCCCCCACAATAAAGAATTATCTGGTCTAAAATGTCAGTCTTGCCACTGTTGCAAAATTCTACATTACAGTGGGAGCGATAATACAAAGAAAGGGATAGTGGGTAGAAAGAAAGTGGATTAAACTGTGGCAGTTAGCAGGGTGGGGTGAGGGTGTGATTGTGAAAATAAAAGTACCGGTGTTTAGAATCAGTTTGGTAACAAGTCTGGTTCTATCTTCTGTCCTTTAGGTGATGGCACAATGCTTCTGGCAGCAAGTAAAGTCTTGGACAGACTTAAACCAGTTATTGGAGTAAACACTGATCCAGAACGGTAAGGAAAAACATGTTCTTTTCATGTGTTTCACTTTTATATACAAACTTTTATGCTTTGCTTTGCCGAGTATCTGTTGATAATAAATATTAAAGTTTGGAAGCTCTTCTTTATTTTCTCTACCATAGTTATATTGCTGGGCTCTGTTGCTACAGGGAGTTTATCATAGTGCATGATGTTTAAGAAGCAGCATCATTGTTCCTGGCTATCATGAACCGTTAGAACCATGTTCAAAAACACTTCAGTGATGAAATTTAGGCATGTAAAATTGTTCTCTAGTAGAGTTCTTTTTTATATAGTTTTTTTCAAGGATATAGCTATTGTTTTTAGCTTAGGCATAAGAAATATATATACATTTAGCAGGCATTGGTGGTAGAAAATTTTGATGTGGGACGGACAAGTCCTCACATCTGACTTCCCAGTAGTTTGGAAGTAGTATCTGTGGCAGAGTAGACCTGACCCTTGACCCAGGTGAGTATTAGCCACCTGTGGTACTGCTGAAGAGGGATGAGTTAATAATGTTTCATCTTCTGTCCTTCCTTAAGGCTCTCATCTATATTTCTGGATATGTCTCCACTGATTTTTGGTGACTTCATTGACTTAATAAACAGACCAAACCCAATTCGCATTTTTTTTTTTGTCCTTTCTTCACCTTCACTTACATTTACTCTCATTCTGTTTTAGCCACCCGCAGCCACGACCATACCTGGCTGGTCTAGAATCAAATCTCCCCATCTCTCAAATCTTAATTCCACCCTGACCACAGCCTGCTACCCTAATAGCAGTCTTATTCCCTCAATTTTGCTAAATCTGCTCTTTGACTTTTAGGGTGGTGATCCCCTTTGTTTTCTTAACAAATCTCCCCTACTTCATCACTTTCTTGCAATGAATGATTAATTAAATGATCTTAGGGAGCAGAGTTAGGACCCCAGCCTAGCTGAATGAATGTTCCCTGAACGTAATTGAGATCATTGGTTTCTTGATTGCCTTCAATGTTGATGTTTATGTATTTTAGAACTTTTTAATGGCATATTTTTTATATCATTAAAGTAAGAGATTCTTAACTTTAGTGATCACATTTTATACAGTTTATTAAAATATATTTTCTTTTAAAAATATGACTTGATACTCAAAAGCTTGTGGGGATTTTGAAACTGGTAAGTAGACCATGTTGCTTCTCTAATTTATACCTAAATAATAGGTTTTAGAAATCCTTTGGTTTCTCTTCTTGCCTTCAGGCAGAAATGTATTAAGCCTCTTACCTCTTTCCGTAATTCAGGTTGTCCATCTTCTTTTTCTTAAGCACTGTGGTGCCTCACAACCCTTAAATAAACCCCAAATTTAACATTCAGCTTAAGTTTCTTCTCCTCTGTATTAGATATCTGCATAAACAAATCACCCCAAATGCTGCATAAACAAATCACCCCAAAACTTAGTTGCTTAAAACAGTAATAATCACTGATGATCTCTCATGGTGTCTGTGTCAGGAGTTCGGAGGCAGCTTGGCTGGGTGGGTCCAGCTTGGGTTCTCTCAGGAGGTTATGGTCAGATGTCAGCTTGGGCTGCAGGCATCAGAAGGCTGGACCTTCGTTGGAGGATCCACTTCTAAGATGGCTCACTCATATGGACTGATCTAAATTAAATATATAATTTCTGTTTGTCTCTTCTGTTTTCTGTATTTACTGTACTGAACCTGATAAATATGACATTTGAATGCTTAATAATTAGAGTGAGAGAGAGGGCATGTGGTAGCCAGCCTCTAAGGTTGTAGTCTCCTAGTATTTACACCTTTATGTGGTTCCCTAACTCTTTCTATTTTCAATCAGGGCTGGCCTACATGACCAATAGAATATGGTAGGACAGTGTGTTAATTCTAGGGCTCGGTTATAAATGGTATTGCAGCTTCTGTATTGGTCTCTCAGATTGCTCATTCTGGGGTAAGCCAGCCACCTGATGTAAGATACCTAAGCAGCCCTCTTGCCAACAACTAGTACCAGTTTGCTAGCTGTGTGAGTGAGCCTCATTGAAAGTGAATTCTCCAGGTCAAGTCGTTTTCAGATGCTTGCAGTCTTAGCTGATAGATCTGACTGACCTCATGAGAGATTCTTCTCTCTAGAGTGTTTTAGAGTTGCAATTGATCTCAGCAGGTATTGTTCTATAAAATGACAGTTGATATTTTTTATACTTAGCATTATATAAAGTATTATAGTGAATATAAAGTTTTTTAACCTCAGTGTTGACCCTCTCAGATAAAGAAATTGACTTCTCACGATTTTGTAAAAACTTTTTCTGCTCTTCACACTTGTAAGTTAACTTGTAGTTCTTATCAAGAGTTTGTTTTGCTAAACCTGCTCTCAACCTTTCATTCAAGATTGAAGCATTCTACAAACGATAATGACTGAGCTTCCTGGACACCTTTCCTCACATTAGGTCCCATATTCTTTCATCTTCTTATAGCAGCCTATAGACAGTCTTAACACTTTGTAATCTGCAATTTTTAAAAAAAAAAACTTGTCGTCTACATCATGCTGTTAACTCCTTGAAGGAGTTCATCATGATATGCTTTTTTTTTTTTTTTTTTAAATAAATGAAGGATTACATTGGATTAAGCTTTCTGTGTCCACTTCTGGTCACGTAGAATATTTTAAATGACATTTGAAAGGGATTTATGGTTCAAGACACTTTCACATAAATAGTTTGATTCCTCACAATAACCTTTTGAGATTGGTAGTTTTCTCACCCTTTTAGAGATGAGGAAGCTGATGTTAAAGTGACTTGCCCAAAGTTAATAGTTAAATAACTTAAAAGTAGAACGCAAATACCACTGTGCCATTAGATAATTTTGCAGGACAGCCAATCAGTGGTAAATTTGCCATTATTTTTTAGTTTCATTATAATGTGGAAACTAAGTAGTATTGTGTATTATGGCAGTGAAGCTGGATTTAAAGTATATTTGGTCTTTTTGTTCTTGTTGGAAGTGCATACAATTTTGTCCCCAAAAAACGAAGTATAGACGTTTTTAAAATTTCATGCCTGATTTGTAGTTTAGTGATACCTTTTGAACTGTTTTTTTTTTTCTTCTTCCCTATACACCACCCCCAAATCCATTTTAAAGGTCTGAGGGTCATTTATGTCTTCCTGTTCGATATACACATTCCTTCCCAGAAGCCTTACAGAAGTTCTATTGTGGTGAGTTCAGGTAGGAATTTCTTACTATTGTTATATAAATATCTTAATAAATGTGTGTCATTAAAGATGTTGTTAAACAGAACAAATTAGATATTTGGTTTAGTCCATAGTTATAACAGTAGCCATAAAAAGTAACGCATTAGCTGACTCACAAACACATCTAACTTACCTTCTTCTAATTCAGTTGGAACTATGTGGAAAAACCCTGGCAAGTGCCGCTTGGCCTATAATGTGATTTGGAAGTAGAGGTTTTTCTCCTTCAGTGAGATAGAGGCCATGTCTCTGCTGTCTTAACCTTGTCGCAGGTTCTTAGCAGTTTAATAGAAAGATAGTTAAAACTGTTGGCTAATTCTCTGGGATTTTATATTTTTTATCCTCATCTTCTCTTATCCAGAATGACTGAGGGTTAAATTTACTCCAGCCATGCTGAGATTCTTGGTAGTTCTGTGTTATATATTGTTTGTTAAACAGTAGAGATTTTTTTTTTTTTTCATATTTCATTAATTTGTGCATTGGTCAGACTACCTTGAGGAGAGAAGTGTAGAGGGAAGAGCTGAGATAGGGTTGGCCGATTACATTAGAGAGAGCCAAGTTAGATTACTATTTATTTCCTTCTGATTTGGACTAGATTTTATAGTTCGAGGAAACTTTTCTGAATATTTGGGAAATTGTATTAAATATTATTGACTTCTGGAATCATTTTATTAATAATGATTCTGTTTCTAGTCATTTCAGAAATTTGGCACCTCTACAAATGACTACTTTTTATAGCTAGCAAGTGGGAGTATATTTTTGTATACTTATCTAGCAGTATCTATCCTAATAGTTTTTTGATAAATCAGTTTTTGGTTTTGAAATCAATTAAACCTGATTCTTTTTTTCTTTTACCAAAAATGTCATTTAAGTTTAGGTATAATCTTACATGTTGTAATGTTTGTTATTGATCTCTTTTTGCTTTTATTGTAAAAAAGATCATTATAAAATTTTAGGGGAATGATTTTTATCTAATCCAACCACCTTAACACTATTATTTTAATTTCAGAATGCTTCCTCTTTTGTATATGTTATACATTTGGATGAGCAAAACACATTACATCTAGCTCAGTATTTTAGATTTAATGGATACTTGATAAAGTATTTGACTTTAATTCAAGTTATTTGGGAGATGTTGAACACATACCTTAGATCTTTTCATTATAATTGACATTATAATCTGTCTTTGATTGGAACCAGTGGGTTTTAGGTGTTTCTGGTATAATTCATGGACTAATTAGTTTTTTAATATAAATTTTTAATTTGGTGAAATCGTAATGTCTAATCCTGAGTTTAATTTATTTTCTCTTGACATAACTTGCTTTTTCTTTATTCTTCTAAGGTGGTTATGGAGGCAGCGAATCAGGTTGTACCTTGAAGGGACTGGCATAAACCCTGTTCCTGTGGACCTTCACGAACAGCAACTAAGTTTGAACCAACATAGCAGAGCCTTCAACATTGAAAGAGTTCATGATGAAAGTGGGTGGATTGGGAATTAGATGTGTTTGGGGGCAGAATTTAATTTACAGTTCCTTTGATCTCCAATTTCTAGAAGTAATATTTTATAATTAACTTGTAGATTTTAGTGCCGATAACATTTAAGATAGTACAGCAAACTATTTCAGGTGTAAAACTTGTTACGATTAGATAGTGAAATAAGAAGTATAGCATATATCTAGAAGAAATGTGTTCTAGGACAGGTTTGAAAACTAGTTGATTAGGGAAGGATTATAAAATGTCCAAGTGGATAGTTGATATTTAAGGAAAGATTCTTGGCCTTAACCTTTGAAATGTCATAAAGGAAAAAGGAGTAGAAATAAAATGAGCTAATCTGTGGAAGATTTCATAATAATTCTATGTTTATATAGTTATATTTAAACATTTATCGTAGTTCTAGTTATTGATTAAAACATTTTTGTTGGGAAATTTGGTATCCCAGCCTTGAGATTTGTGTTTCAAATATTTGTGTAAGCTGTTTGGAGAATATTACCATAAAGTGGTAGGCACCTTTTTTGTTATAGGTAGTTAAGAGGAATTCTCATTTTTGAGCTCACTTGTGGATTATAATTTAACTGCATTTTCCTACATTTCTCAGTAACTGTTTAGACTTTCAAGATGCAAGAAGCGCCTTAGAGATGTCCTAAATATCTAGATTTTTTTTCTCCTGTGTTTCATTTCTTGGCTAAATTTATCAGGAAAAGCTGCCTTTATGTATCTGCTTTCTGTTTCTGTTTCTGTCTTGTCATGGTACCTGATATTTATATTCATTTTTTTCAGCTTTTTTTCATGGTGATCTTTAGCTTTCTTTATAGGTCAGCATGATTCTAAACCGTGTTCATGTCATGTTTTAAAGATGTTCCTCGGCCCCCTTCCCCAAATCATTTGATTTTAGAAATCTTTTAAGTAATTACATGCATATGAATTCCTATTACTGTTTTTGAAAGACTGCAGTAACTATTAAGATTTTAAAATCTTAGCTAGAAATTTTACTTTATCCCCCACCAAAAGAAATTACTGCTACCACCAAAAGACTTTAAGGATTTGGCTCTTTTCATCAACAGTCTTAAAGGAAAGATGTAGGTTGTTATTCAGAAATTCATTGCTCAGACTCCTATCTCAGATTCACTGTTTTTAGTTTATAAAATAACATATATAGAAACAAAATTATAAATGAATTTTGTAACATCCGGGGTGTTCATATCTGATTCATGGTAGTTTTAGAAAAAGAATATATTCAAAATTTAAAAAATAATAAAAGAAAATTTCTCAAAACTTAGGTGCTAGGTTTTGGATTGAAAGGACCCACGGACTACTTAGCAGAAGGTAAAAGGTCCCACATCGAGATACGTCAGAATGCTAGACAGCAAACCAAAGCTCCTGCAACCTTCCAGAGAGGAAACAGGAGTGTAGTGGTGGTGACTGTGGTCAGAGCAGGTTATTTTATATATAAAGAATCTGGAATCTGAAACTTCAGATTTTTTAATAGTAATACTGGAAATTGCTATACTTATAATTATTAATATTGCTTATATTATTAACAATTATATGATATTTACCATGTTTAAGTATTATTTTAGAGGGTTTTTTTAGAGGTTTTTTTTTTTTTTTTCAATAGCTTTATTTTCTGAGATGAAATTGAGGAAGATTTCAAGGTATAGCTCATTTCCTTTTTAAATTCTCAAGTTGTCAGGAAATAACATTTCTTGGTAAGCCGCCGTTTGGGATTTTTGAATATAAGAGTAGGTTTGAGATTATAAATACACCACCATGTTTGATCCCTTATTTAGTTTGCTAATTTAGAAAAAAAGATTACAGAGGGGCAAAAAACTAGTTTTAAAACTTTTCAGCTTAAAAAAGGGATGATGCAATTTTAAATAGTTTTCCATCTTAGGTAGTATAATCCATCCTTAGCTAGATTGTATTTGTGTACAAGTTAATGAAGAAATCTACATTTTAATTACCCATATACCTTCAAGGGAAGGTAGGGTTAATTTATTTATTACTTTAAAACATTTTTTATCACATAAACTAGTAACTTTATTTTCAAGGCTGGTTGTGTTAATATGGATAAGTGAATGGATTGATAAACAGTCCTGGAATTTCAGGGGCTTAATGTAATGAAGGTGTATTTCTAGCTCATCTCACTTTCCAGCAGGTGTTCAAGCAACTTCCAAACGGTGGCTGCTACCATCTTCTTAGGCCTGAGTCTTCTGTTGGATCCTCTGTAGCTTGTGGGTAGAAGAAGACAGTGAAAACATGGAGAATCTTGATGGAAGGTTTAGGAGCTAAGCTTTTTCATTACTTTTGCTTATATGGGAATTGGCTGTTATTAAAGCCGTGGGTATACCCAATACAGGTAGACCTGAAAAGGTAGTCCAGTGACAGTGTGAGAGAAGTGCAGAGTGTAGCATAGCAGTGTCTGTCCCTAGGACAGTATAACAATTCTATATTTAAAGAATACAAATTATAATTAATTTTGTAATCTATTCTTTTGGATAGAAAATTGTTAATTGGTATTGAGTTTACTTTTTTTCATGTCCTACTGAAACAAGTTGTAAATGAACAGTTTCATGATTAGGTAATGTTTGGTAGCCAGTTAGCATGAAAAGAACATATAAGCAGAATTAAGGTGATTACTGAGACTTGAAGTGACTTTATATATTTTCTTCTTCCTTTGACAAAGGATTTCAGGTGAACTTCAGCGAGCACAGACAATAAATGTATAATATGGAAAAGAAAATTAGGATGAGGAAAAATGGTTCTAGAAGTAGAAAGTAAAGACCATATAAAAGAAAAACATGGTTACAGTTTGATGGTGAGAATTCAGATTTACTAGTTAGTAATATTTAGTGAGCACCTACTGTTAAGCATTTGTAGAAAATCTGTGGAGAAATGTAAAATAAATTCTGTTAGCAATTACCTTATGTAAAGAAAAATAATTTAAACAATACATTTTAACTTTTTATATTTATAAAACTATCAGGTATGAGAATGTATATATATCTAATACCAAACTAAGACTGTTTAAAAAGTTAGCAGGTCTTGCAGTCTTAAGTGCAATCGAATTTGATTAAACACATCACATTTTTTATATGCTTTTTTTGTGTACAGTTTCTTCTACTGTATTATGAGATTGAGCTGATAATGTCAACCTGTTCTATAATTTAGCCAAATAAGTTTTCAAAGGGTGCTTGGCATTGTAATAACAACTTGTTATATTTGCAAGAATAGTTGGGCCCTCTTTAGGCAGTTATAATCCAAAATAAATGAAATAAATGTAATTAATATTAAATAAACAAGACTGTAATAATCAGCTAGCAACTCAGAGGAGACTATTAGATCAGTGGTTGTATTGGGGCAATGTTAAAAAATTTTATTAGTGTATTAAATGTCTAATGTACATTAGCTGTCTATTGCTGCATAACAAATTACCCCAAAATTTAGCATCTTAAAACAAATATTTATAATTTCATAGAGATTATGAAGGTCAAGAATCCAGGGGCAGCTTAGCTTGTTAGTAATGGTTTAGGGTTTCTCAGGAGGTGACAGTCAAGCTGTGAGCTGGGACAGTAGCATCTGAAACATGACTGGGACTGTAAGATCTTTTTCCCAGCTCACCACATGGCTGTTAGCAGGAAGCTTCAGTTCCTTACCACGTTGGCCTCTCCATTGGACTGCTCGTGAAATATCTTCCCCCAAAGCAAGTGATCTGAGAGAGTGACTAAGGCGGAAACTGGAGTGTCTTCTTTAACCAAATCTCAGAAGTGACGTATCACTTCTGCCACACATTGGTCACATGGACCAATTCTGGTAGGATGTGAGACAGCGAGTTACAAAAGAATGTGAATACCAGGAGGCAGGAATCCCAGGGGACCTTCTTGTAATTAAACTTTGACAATTGGGGTGAACTGTTAAGCTTTGACTTAGGAGAAAGTGTGGAAAAGACAGAAAAGGGAATTTGTCCCACAGCTTGCCCAGTGGTAGATTCTTGGGCGCAGTGAATATGCTATTGGTGACATTGAGAAGATAGGGTTGACATTTCCAGTTGGAAACTGATAAAAGATTAAAAGTAAAAGAAACCATTTGAGAGTAACAGTCGCAGCTTTGATCCAGAAAGCAGTTGGAATCCTTTGGAGGATTTTGTGTGGAGTGATGTTTAATTGTTAAGGAAGATTGCTTAAGCTGTGCCTTGTAGAGTGGAAAAAAAGAAAAGATGACATTTTTTAGGAGTCGTGAAAGGATATAGGGCAGTGCTCCTCCAGTGCTGCTGTTGCTAAACATACTCTTGAGATTTTCTATTTAAAAAAAAATATCTGATCTCAAACAACTGATTCAGTTCCAACATGAACCATGCATACAATTTGCTGCTTAAATCCAGAATGGCTTTCCTCTGGAAGTACTTGATCATTTGCACCTCTGAAGCTTCCTGAGTAAAACGAAGTTAAATATGACAACAAGAATCTTATGAGACGGATAAATATATTTTGTTACTCTTGAAAGATTGTTTCAAGAAGAGTTAAAGTTTATTTTGGAGAGACAGAGACTTCATTGCAGCTACAATGTTAGGTGACTTTGAGGTTTATATTATGAATACTTTAAATAAAAGATATTTGATTTATATGTTAATGATGTTATAGGTTCTATTACAACAAAAATGAATATTTTAATGTTTTATAAAATTTATGTCATAACATTTCTAAAATTTTAAGAGCTATCTTGGATTTTTTTCTTCAATACCTACAGGGTCTGAAGCTTCAGGACCCCAGCTTTTGCCAGTGAGGGCACTAAATGAAGTCTTCATTGGGGAAAGCCTATCATCCAGGTACATTTAAACCAGTGATCTTGAGTTTGGAATTTAATGTTTTAGTATTTTTTAGATATTTATTCAATTTCTACAACCTAAAATATATAGTATTTAATTAATAGTATATAAGTAATAGAAATTAATTATTTAATGAAATATTTCCAAAACCTTCATACATGTTAATACGTATTAAGGGGAAAGAAAGTTCTGTGATCAAAAAAGTTTGTGAAATCCTAGGTTAAACAGTTAGGTTTCTTTAGTGCAGTATTTTCCAGAGCCTTTAATCTATCATATAGGTGCTTTATAAATGTTTAGGAAAATGATATACTTACTAGGAGTACGTTTGCTGTTGACATAAAACTTTTATAGACAGTCCATAGTAAAACTTCCCTACAAAATGTCTTAATAATGTCCTTTAAAGTTGATTTGTTTGTTTGCTTGTTTTTATCTAGGATCCATTTAAGGATTATGCATTGCATTTGGCCATCTTGACCCTTTTGAATTAAGAACAGATCCTTAGCCTCATTCCTGTTTTGACATTCATGATATTAATATTTTTTAATCATCTAAGCCAGTCGGTTTGCAGAATATCCCTCATTTTAGATTTGTGTGATTTTTTTTTTCTGTGTGATAAGATTCAGACTAAACATTTTTAGCAGGATGCTACATAAATGAAAATTGCACCCTTCTTAGTGCAACATCATAAGGCAAGTGTATGCACAGTTTAAGATTTGTAACCATTATTAGCAAAAAGTTAATGAAAAATTTTTTATTAAGAGTGTTAAATAATAGTATGTGTTTTATTACTGATGAAATCTTGTTTTGTGGGTGTTGAAAATAACTTAGGCTTAAGTTGTCAGCAGAATTTTTTCTGCAAAACTTTTTGTGTAATAGTTGCCAGTTATAAAATAACTGCTGTTATACAAAGCTAATTTAACTCTTGGTAGTATTTTAGAACTTGCCTTGTCATTTTCATATATGTGAGTAAATTCAGGCTTGAAGATTAGAGATGAATCTATAACCCACTATCCTGCTGCCCGAACCATGTGACCTTTTGAAGGCCTAACAGTTGATTTCCTAGTTTACTGAAGAGTTCCATATATTCTGAAATTCTGTTTGTTTAAGTCATATCTTTTAATAAGAAGTTTAATTATGGTGAGAAAAGTTTGTCTTAATTAAGAGAGATCCATGTTTTAGCCAATGACTTAACTTAGATAGTACTGAAAAGAACGAAGCCTGATTCAACAGAATAATTTGAACACTCTTTTTGAGTAGTCGTAATTATTTCGATTAATGTATTTTAAAGTTTGTAAAATAAAACTATATTGTGTACTGCTGCAGTGTGTGAGTCACTAGGGATGTAAAAAAGAATAAGAAATAGGTAGTGGTATCTTAATTTTTTGGAGAGTGGTAAAATACGTAATTAAAAAATTATTAAAAGTAAAATTTATTCAGAGAAAAAATGTGTTCTTTAAATAACTTAATAAAGCATAAAAATATTTAACACAGACATGCTGTATATGAATTTTTTTTTTTGCTATATATCAACTTTGAAACAATATGAGTACTTTTATGTGATAGGAAGAAATGTAACTACTTGCTAAAGACATGACAGAAGAGAGCAACTTTAAATGAGATTGGAGAAAGTTTATATTAAGATAAATAGATGACAAAGGTAAAAATGTTTTGTGAATTTATGCTTACTCTAGGAAAGCCATTTGATGGCTTATTTTATTCTGTTTGTATATTTTAAAGGTTGTTACTTCTGGGAGCTTTCACTAGCGTTGCTTTAATTTCTACTTACTAAAAAATTAACTTATAAAAGGAGGAAAATTGAGATAAATTGATAGACTTTGGGAATTCAGTGAAGTCTCATTAGGAGATTTTAGATTGAATGCTTTTATTTTCTGTGTCAGTAATGATTTGGTTGGTTGGTTGATCTAAATAATATCTGATGCTGCTTCTTTTTGTGTTCTTTGATGCCTCACCTTATATCTGTACTAAGATAAGGACAGCAATGGGTTGGCTTCTGATGCTATTGAAAAAAGTTTCACTAGTGAAGGTATTAGAATTTACTTTTAAAGATTCTATTACATAGATCCTTAGGCAGAAAGGAAATGAACATTTATTGGAGGCCTGCAGTGTGTCAGGCACTGTTTATATTGTGTATGTTATCACATTTAATGCTCATAGCAACCCTGTGAGAAAGGTAGTTGTAGTTTATCAGTGAAAAAAAATTGAGATGGAGATTTGTAGAGTTCATATAACTTGCCCAAGGTCTTATAATTAGTTAGCATCAGAACTGTCATGTAAACCCAGTATTTCTGATTCCAGATTCTGTGTCGAGGCTTCACTATGCCCTGAAAACTTAAGTGCCTTGCTTGGAAAATATAAAGTGCAGCAATATTATTCCTGCCTCATTTACAATGTTCTTAGATTGAAGAACATTTAAAAGCCCAATTTTTTTTCTTTGTTCTAACCTAGAATGTCTTATTCTTGGGCTGTAGCAGTGGACAATTTAAGAAGAAGTATACCCATTCTAAAGGGACTGTGAGTTTTATTGCTGCCTTAAAAAAAATAATTTTCCTGAAACAAAAATTCTATAAGTTGACTAATTTCGATAAACCTGCATGAGAGAATGACACTAAATTTGCTCATTATTTTGGGCTCAGCATCTCTCACCTGGCTATACTTTTCTTCCTTTCCACTTGTGCTTCACTTCTCTCCCCACTTACCTCTAACCTCTTGTTTCCGTGTGATTCTGGCATAACAGCAGCCATTCCTACAGATTTGACTGGCTTGTCTGTATATAATAGGCTTCTAATGTGACTAAAATTCCTAATTTTCTGAGAAGACATAACAAAGCTATGAAATAGATTAAATGTGAATATTAAACCTGCTATCTTTTATTTTTATGAAGAATGCTAACTTCAGAGAAAAAATGAAAAGGAGTGTATCGTGTAAGACCTTCACAGATTCAGAGCTTGGCAAGAGAAATTGAAAGGGTTAGAATAAGAGATAAATTATCCATTGAGTGTTTGTATTTGCAAGTATGCTAATAATTGTCATTATTTTGAAAAGCTGTATTTTATTAAAGGTTTATTTTAACTTTTTTTATTTGCTGGAGAAAACCAGTGTTGATCACTGACACCATTATTTTAAGATAATAGTTTACAAAATAGGCTTTTGCATGTTTCAAAAGTTCTTTGAATAAGTGCAAATCATTTATACATTCATGCAGTTAAAGAATAGTGTTAGTTTGCTCTGTCAGAAAATCCACTTGATTTCATTTTATGAAATACTCTAAGAATATAAATCTTTAAAGAAATTACAGTTTTTGTTTATTTCTAGTTTTGTCCATTAGTTCGGTACTGGTTGAGAATTTTCTTTAGAACTTTATTATTTGTTAACTTACTGTTAATTCAAAAGGCACATGATGTAACATAACGTATGTAATTTAGGAAACAAAAGTTTACCAGAAACTTGGTAACTCGAAGGATTAGATACAGACTGAGATACGTCAAATGCACACTGGCTAACCGAGGAAGAAACTCTCCTAAGGATGGTATTTTCTTTTTGAATTTTGAAATAAGGTTCTGTATATTAGATTTCGTAAAAGCAGCAGCAGCAATGCTAGGTAAAAATTTAAAATAAGCCCCTGTTAGAAGTGTTAAAGTATTGATAGAAAGGAGTATATAATAGGTCAGAGAGGGAGGCAGACGTGTAGAACTTTTAACTTTTTCACTTAGAGTCAGTATTAGAATTAGCACCATGATGTGTGTGTGCCTACTAAGGTATGTCTAAGTCAGGCTGGCCTACTGAGATTTCATCAGTTTAGAAACAGACTATGTTTGTTGTGAGCCACAAGTTCAGCAAATTCAGTTTTATATTTTCAATTCATAGGGCTTCCTACTATGAGATTTCAGTTGATGATGGTCCATGGGAAAAACAGAAGAGTTCGGGGCTCAATTTGTGTACTGGAACAGGATCAAAGGCCTGGTGAGTAACTTGGGATGTTGCTTATCAATTTTTGTGAAATATTTTAAGTAATGTAATTTGTTAACCTCATATCAGCATACCTAAGGTCTCTGATATGTGAGAGGTAGCCTAGTATTGTCATGTTGGTTGGTCAGTTTCTGCTTCTTTTTTTTTCAGCAGTCTTGCCTTGATGTCTTAGATTACAGCTGCAGCCTAAATTTGGTCATTATTTGGTCATTATTTAGCCTGCTGCACTTGGTTTGTAAAGAGAAAAAAGAAAAAAATTTTTTTGGTACTATATATATATTTCAAGTGAAGAATATTTTAAATAATAGTAAAGAAATGAAAACAAAGTACAATACAAAAAACATATGCTGAAGGTTTGTGCATTAAAAGCCTAACCAGAGATAACCTGGGGCCTCCAGTATGTTGTTTACCGTGTAATCTCTTTCTGGATGGTCTCTTTTGTGTCTTTGTACACATATGCAGATGCCTTCCAGACTTAAATCTGTAGCAGTCTTCACTCCTGGCTATAAACTCATATTCTAAAATTAACTAGTAAATAGAATATTAATAGCATTTCAAATTCAATACATTTAACACTGAGTTTATTGTCTTCAGTTTTCTGCCTGTGGTGATCCTTGTATTGCTTAACAGTATCACTGCCCTGAGTTCATACTCTAGAGACAGGGTATTATTACTCCTCCAAACCTTGCTCTTACCTTTGAGTCTCTACACACACCAGTCTCTAAATCCAGTCATTTGTACTTCTGAAGTCCTTGCCCCTGCCCTTTTCAGTTACTACTGCTATTTCTTTGCTCCAAGCACCCATCTTTTTAGTGAATATTTTTTGCGACTCACCCTTTATTCTTCAGGCTGTCATCCATACTGCCAATAGAGTAAGATTTCTAAAACGTAGATAAAATATGACTATACCCCTTCTGTGCTTTAAAACTTTCACTGACTCCGACTATGTTCAGGTTGCTCAGTCTGTCATATAATGACCGAAGGTACCTTGCCAGCCTATTGCTACTGTACCCTAACCCATCAGCACACTGGAGACACGGCAGGCTACTTGCAATTCTCAGCACAAACCATGTTCTCTCTGTGCTTTTTGTTTTTGCTCACTGCAACTTCTTTCTGCATTGAATGTTTGAACACTCTCCACTTTCCGTTCGCTGGCTGAAAATTCCAGTCTTCAAATGTCATTCTCTGTAGGGAATCTTAGTTCCCTTCATAACCATAATTAGTCTCCCTTTTGTTCTTCTCCAGCACTTTTGTTTGTCATTGCACTATTATAGCACTGACCATATTACTAGTTATCTAATAACTAATACCCAGCTAGTTGGAGCAACTTGAGACAGTTAGGATGGTGAGTAGTGGGTTTTTTTCCTGTTTAATTTTTTTGTGTGCAAAGCATAGTACCTTGTACATATTCATGAAGATATTTTTTGAATGACTACATGCTCACAAATACATCTAATATAGTGCTTATCAAACTGTGCTCTTAAGTTGAGATAGTTTTCCTCTAAAGAAGAGAAGTGCTCCAGTGGGTTCAGACAGGAAAGATTCTCAAGAACTTACAGGGCATGATAAGGCATGCACAAGACATGTCTGGGTTGTGGCCCTCAGGGGAGGCAGGAAGCATTCAGAGGACTCAAGATAAAGGAGGGCCACTTCCTTGGCAGGATTTGGTAGAACAGAAGGTGAGGAAACCAGTGTTCTAAACTTAGGACAAAATGGAGTTTCATTTCCTAATTCCAGCATTACTTTTTAAAACTTTTTATTGTGTAAAATTTCATTTATATACAAGAGTAGGCAAAAACAGTATGATGAATCTCCATGTGCCTGTTAGCTAGATGGACTAGTTATCCACTCATGCCCGGACTTGTTTCCTCTGCCCTACGATCTCTTTTGGTCCCATATTATTTTGAAGTAATTTTCAGACATATCAGTTCATTCATAAATACTCAAAAATGTAACATCTTAAAAAAAAAGAAAAAACCCTAGTTTTAGCAAAAAGCCTTAGCCAAATAAATGAACCTTTGGAAAAAATGAGAAGTATCATTTAAAAAAATTGGTAATATCTTACTTTCCTAGGGCCATTGAGAAGAGCTACATTTCTAAAGTGACTTCTGTAATAATTATTTGAAACAATAAAATCAATACAATTAATCATATAATACGCTATAAAAGTATTTGTAACCATCTCATAAATTGAAAACATTACAATTAACAGCTTTAATTTATCATAGCATCTTTTCTGCTCAACATGTGTGTTACTTGTTGAAACTGGATTATTAGAAATAGTTCTACATATCCTTCCCCTTCTCTCAGTATTCTCATCCTTTAAAAATAGGCAAAATGGTATAATTGAAAAGAGTACTAGCCTGGAAGTTAAAAGACCTGGCTAAACCACTGATTAGCTTTGTCCACCTAGAACAAGTTTCCTTTTCTGCAAAATGAGAACAGATAAAATAGTAAGATCACTTTATTTTCTGAACTTCTGTGATTTTGTAAGTTATATTTTATGCAATATAATACAAACTCAGTTATTTAGTCCCTGCTACTTTGAATATACTGTGCTAGGTACTTTTTATACATTGACTATAATGCTTATAGAAATCCTACAATAAAGTAGTAGTATACCTGTTTTGTAAAGGAAGAAATTGAGGCTTAGCAAGAAAAAATAATTAGGCCAAGTTCACACTAGTAAGTGTCAGAACCTGGAATAAGTGTGCTTGACTGCAAATCCAGTGACTATTTCATTGCCAGCTTTTATATGGAGAGGGAGAGCTATCTAGAAGTCACACATTTGAAAGATGAGTCACTAGGTTGTACTGAAGAATTATCAAGGTAAACTTGCTGATCTTAGTGAAATAGTGCTTATGCTAAAGGCTTTGACTTCTCCCTTGGGGTGTGGGTGTGTGTGTGTCTGCATGTGTGTAATTTTGATAGTTTTAGTTTTCAACCTTTCAATAGTGAGAAGAGCACAAAGAATAAGAGCCGTTATGTTGTAAAGTATTCCCCACTCCCCTGCCACACACCTTATAGTTGAGTCCTGTGTTGATGTTGCATTTGAATAAGGATGACTTAGATTAGAACCTCAGTCTTTTGTGTGTTGTTTATTAATCTCTCATTGTCTCCTGTGCTCTGGTTTAGAACTCTCTCTCACTAACTACACCCTGTCCCTGCAACCTTGGTTACGCAGTCTCTTTTCTTTACTCAGCCCTATGCAGCTTTCTTACTTCTAACATGTTCTACCCTCCTCACTCCTATTACTGGTAATTCTTCCACAAGAAATTTGTTTTACTTTAATTCCCATTCAGAAGACTTAGTTTGGATTGGTTTGTGGTATCCCTAGTAATAGGAATGTGATATTCCTAATAATAGGAATATTAGAACAAGTCTTCTAAGACTTTTGTTCTCAAGTTAAATCTTAACAACAAGGAGATATTAGTTACAAAAATCTTTTGCTCTTTATATATTTTAAGTCAGTGGAACACTAATAAACATAGCTCATTTTATGTAACTTTGATTTAAAACAGAGTTTTAAAGCAGTATCGTCTAATAATGTGGATATTCCCAAGGATTAGACTATAATTTATACATATCCCTTGCATCTGAGATTTTCAGTGTGGCGTTCTTGCCATGTAGTGCCCTAAGTGCTTTATATCTCATAGTGTGTGATAGTAATAATAATGAAATAATAAGAGTCAGGACACTTATTTAAAGTATTTTGCTTTATTACCACATAGTAGGTGTGAGCAAAAGTACAAAGGCAAGAATGACCTTGCTGTGGTAGAAATGTCAAATTGGAGGGCAAATAATGGTGAAAATAGGCAAGGGCCACATTTTAGATTTTTCTAGCATAGGGATTCGGTTTGTGAATGACCCCACATTTTTTAATGTAAAAATTCATCTATCTGCATTTTTGTAAAGAGCATGTTTAAAATGTTTTCTCATTTCTCAAACTGTGAAGAATATAGGATTAGAATGGTATATGGAGTATTTCTAACTCCCCTCCAACCGTCACCCCCGCCCCCTACCTCAAAAAAAGTTAAGAGTCACTGAATTAGGTTAGAGTTGTGTGACTCATTAGGTTATTCCTTTTTATTAGGATTATCTACTGATGCCATATGAGAAGAGTTATGAGGCAGTAGAATAATTCAAAATTTCCTGGAAAAATTAAAAAAAAAATCTTTCCTTAATCATCTTTACAGATACCAGGAGAGAGCTGCTTTTAAAAGTTATTCATGTTTGTGTTAACATTTGTTTTTAAGTGGTTAAGTAAGGCATCACACTGGGGAAAGATTTCCCACCTTTAAGGGAACCTTTATGATTTAAAGAAATACTTGTACATATTTAAAAATGTTAAATAGTACAAAAGGGTATATAATGAAAAGCTAGTCTCCTTAATTTCATGTCTCTAGTACTAATCTACAGACACAATCGCCATATATGTATAACTGTTTTTAATGCAAATAAAACAGGGAGATAATATACTATATAATGCCTTTTGTTTTTTAACTTAACATGTTAGTTATCTCTTCATATCAGCACATGTAGTTCTATTTTATTTTATTTTATGCCTACAGCACCTAGTCTTCCTAGGTGGTCTCCCATCCAAGTACTAAGCAGGCCTGACCCTGTTTAGCTTCCAAGATCAGTCGGGATTGGGCATGTTCAGGGTAGCATGGCCATAGACTGTTTTATTCTTTTTAATATCTACTACGTAGTACTCTGCTGAGTACCTATAATTTATCTAGCTTCATGTGGATATTTATGAGTTGTTTTGCTATTGGGAATAATGCTTCAGTAAATATTCTTGTACATGTCTTTATTATATGTACAAGTATATTATAGGATAAAATACTAGATTGAAGAACATGTTCATTTTAAATATTAATAGCCCAGAATCGCTGTCCAGCTGCAACTTTTATAATCTCATCAGTGTATGAGAATACTTTTCCCTTACTCATGCTAATACATTGTTTTTAATTCTTGCAAATATGAGAAAAAGCTTGTTTTATTTTGTAGTTCCTTAAGTATTAGTAAGATTGAACATTTTTTTTCATATTGACCTGTGAACTGTTTGCCCATGTACTTTGCCCAGTTTTTAAAACTGGGTGAGGTAGATATTGTCTTTTGGTTGTTTTTTTCTTTAATTTTTTTTTTAATTGTTTTTTTCTTTAATTTCTAAGAGTTCTTTGTATATTAAGTAGAATATTCCTTTTTCATTTTTAGTATGTTTTTAGAATTAAAACAGAATTTATGTGTTGTTTGTTTCTAGGTCATTCAATATCAACAGGGTTGCAACTCAGGCTGTGGAAGATGTTTTAAATATTGGTGAGTACCATAATAACTATTATATATTATAAATATAATATACTCTGTAATGTATGTTTTATTATGTTTGCTGTTATATGATATAAAACATTTAATCAATATTTTCCCTCTTTCAATAGCAAAACGGCAAGGAAATTTAAGTCTTCCATTGAACAGAGAATTGGTAGAGAAAGGTCAGTGACAAATTATAATTACTAACAGTTTCACTTGAGTTCTTTATTGATTTTGCGGATGTTATTATGAAGTGTACTTGTCTAATTAGCAAAGCACAGTACTTTTTGACTCAAACATGCTCTTAATATCTCTTTAAATAGATTTAAACAATAAAGTTTAAAACTGGACTTTTATGATTTTTGTCAACTATGGAATATAACCTCTATGTCAAAAACAGTGTAACTGCAAACATGTCTCGGGGAATAGGAAAATACAGAAAAATACCTCTGTGGCAAATGGGAAATGCACACCTGAAGTCAGCGTGCCATTAATATCCTCCAAATGAAAAGGAATTCACTAAGCTGTGAATGCTTATCTCCACATTCACTAAAATGTTCTCTTCAACCTGCTCCTGCCTGCTTCTGTCTAGTTACTTTAAGAGAACTAGCACTGCTGGGAAGAAGGATACTACTGATTAGGGAAACTGAAGATCTGAATTCCAATCTCAGAGCAAGCAGTCACTCACCGTGAAACTATGGACAAGATTGTGATTCTGTGCTCCTCCACCCCCTCAGCTGTAAAATGAGGGAGGGGAGGGAACATAGTTAGATCACTGGTGAATAGGGATTTTTCATATTCTTTAAATTTTATTTTAAGAAATACTTAAATTCTTAAACCAGAAAACACATTCATTTGATTCGCATATGACATTTTAACACACTAACCTACACTCATCTACCAGTATCATTTTTGTACAGACCTCAAACTAAAGCTTTTCTTACTGTCTAACTGAAGAGTATCCTAAGATTTTAAGGTAAATTATTTTCAAAAAATAACAAAAACCCAAACTTGTTTATAGTTGCATCTACCTACCTTTGTAAGGATTTTGAAAACATATACAGCTAAAAGAAAATATAGACACAAAGTTCATATCAACACATGTAAGATTGCAACTGTCATCCATCCATAAACACAAACACTTGAATTTGAATTATCAGAATAACTTCATTCTCACTGGTTGCCTTTAAAATGATTTAACAATACATTTCGCAATACGTGATGAAGTATTTTAACAGTGTCAGTTTATTTAACTATATATTTTGGATTTCTACTTAAGAATTCCTTTGTTGGGGGGACGGTGTTTGCTTTTAAAATAGTTTGAAAACAGAACTAAATCTCTGAACTCCCTTTCATTTCTCTAAAATGAACTCTTCTCCCTCTCAATTGAAGACCTAAAAGATTATTTTTATCATGGCTTATGAGCTAGCATTAGGATTAAATCTGTATCAAAGAAAGGAAAATTAGGTATTTATCGCAATTGATTCTTCATTATGTAATTTAACTTACAACATAATATATATAGACCAACTGAAATGTATATTAGGTATGTAAATTAAAGGGCATATATAAAATAAAGTGTTTGATTTTTCCCTTAATAAACTGAGTGACTGTTATTACATTGAAGATTTGACTGTCTTCAGAAGCAACAGTGAATGCCAATGCTGCGGTCACTGTTACACTTCTGGAACTAACTTTCTTCAGAGCTAAGATATGTGTTCCCAGAGAAGCAAATTTTTATTTTTGAAAGTCAACTAGATTTTTTTTTAAAGAACCAAATAATTCAAATGAAATTTCGGTAAATAAAATCTTGTAATGTCTTTTAACGTGCTACTCAACTAAATGTTCTTTCAAGCCTGATTTCTTTGTACAGTTGACTTTAACCAGTTTGTGCTTCGCATGCCAACTCTCATATGCTTCTTTGTTAGAGAGAAAGCAGGTCCCAAAGATTTCCAAAACTATCTTGAATGATGACATTGTCAATAGAGAAAGCATATTGTTCTGTCATCATTTGAGACTGCGTTTTCAGTCAAGACTATTACCTTTTAATTATACTTATGAACTCTTTGACATGGTATTTTGGAAAAGAACTTGGCAGGGGAAAATAGGTAACTCAAGTTTTCATTTTCTAGTGCCATAAACTAGTTCTTCTATTTTTGTTTAATAGCTTTGTAGTTTTTTTTTTTTTTTCCTAAATGTACCTATTTCTTCTGTCTTGTAGGTGATGCAGGCTTCTGTGGGCTCATATGGGAACTTAATCCTCATTTATACGTTTTTTTGTTTTAATGGAATGTTGTGAGTTCCAAGAAACTTGCTACCAAACAGCCTTTGAAACAGAACTGCTTTTAAGTTGGGGATAATTCATTTTGCACTTCTCAAGTGACCATCTTCTATTGAAAGTGCTAATATTTGGTTTTTCTTTCTTTATAGTAACAAATGAATATAATGAGTCACTGCTCTACAGCCCAGAAGAACCAAAAATACTTTTCAGTATCAGAGAACCAATAGCAAACAGAGTTTTCTCAAGCAGTCGTCAGCGTTGTTTCACCTCAAAGTAAGCTTCCAAAGTCTGTTTTTCATCCCTTGTAATCATAAAGCACTCTTGGTTTTAAAAGTATTCGATTTTACTCAAATTAAATTTGGTGGGAGAAACAACCTGTGGAACTGAGGTATTATGCTAACCTGGCTAAAATGGCATTTTCATTTAAATTTAATGTCTAATTTTTGGAGAAACTAAATTTAAATGAATAGAAGAGGCATAGTTAATTGGGTGATGAGGACTTTTTAAATGTATTAAGACCACAGTAAGATCAAATTATTATTTTAAAAGAAATTGACTGGAAAGCAACTTTTTTTTTTCATATGCTATGGAATAAAAGCAGGGCAAATATTTATATAAAACCTAAATTTTGTAACAGAAAACCTTTAGAGTAGGAGTTATATCTTTTCCCTCTCTCATCTGTTGAATTTGCTTCAGGTTTTTTTTTTTTTTTTTTTTTGAGGGGGGACTGTATACATAAATGAATATAATTTCTTATTTTGTAAAGGTTGCCCAGTTTTCCAAACTAACAGGAAATCTTATTATAATCATTAAAAAAATGTCATCTGTTTCATGGCAAACGAAGAACAGTTTGCTTAGAAATAGCTGCTTATAGAGTACATATTCTCTTTTTAAAATCCGTAAATGTTTTTATTCCAAGAAGGACACTAAAAAGGAAACTCATCTTACTTAAAAATCACTTTACTCATTTGAGAGTTAATTTTGATTGATCAACGAATTTATATTCAAGACTCATTTAAATTTTTGCTTATATAAATAGAATAGCCTCATGACTTGGTAGTTGAAAAGTATTTCTTAAGCATGTCAGTGAAAACACTTTAACAACAAAAGCTGTTAAACTTTTCATAAATCAAATACATTAGAATTAAGAACTTCTGTTAATGAAGACACCAATAATAAAATAAAAAGGCAAGCCACAGAGCAGGATATCTGCAGTACCTATATCCAGCAATGAACTCATGCAGAATATATAACATACAAAAATTCCTATAAAACAGTAAGAAAAAGACAGGCAACCCAGTAGAAAATGGCTAACAATTTTAGGCACTTCACAGAAGAGGATATCCAAATTGCTGATTAGCACATGAAAAATGTCCTTTACCTTATTATTCACTTGGGAAATGCAAATTAAAACTACATAATACAATACGAATACTGTACACAATCCACCAGAGTGGCTAAAATACCAGTTGTTGGCACAGTGAAGCAACTTCAACTTTATATACTACTGTCATAGTTTGGAAAATTTTTGGTAATCACCAAAGCTGAATATAGCCTACGCAGTGGCTAAGAATTCCACTCCTAGGTATATATCCAACAGAAAGGTCTACACCAACAGAAATGTGTGCACCAAAAGATGTGCTCAGGAATATTTACAGCAGCACTACTCCCGATAGGTAAAAACCCAGAAGCCCATGAATAGAAGAGAAACGTAAATTTTGCTGTTTTTATACAGTGGAAGGGTTTTTATACAGCAATGAAAAATGAACACACTATTACTGCATATAATAATAAGGATGAATTTCACCAACATACTATTGAGCAAAAGAAGCCAGACATAAAAGCACACATATTGTATTTTTCCATTTATATAAAGTTTAGAAACCGACAAAGCTATTACTACTATAGTGATTGAAATTAGGATAGCGGATGTGCTTGGGATGGAGGGGGCCTGATTTGAGTGAGGATTCCTGCTTTGGGTGGTGATTACACAAGTGAGTGTGTTGAGCTGCACCCTAATAATTTGTGCTGCCTCTGTGTTATGCTTAAGTAAAAGTTTCATATGAAAGCACTTTTGCTCAGTACTTAAGATGCTTGTAATGGCAGTAACTCAACATTCAGTCACAAGAAAAAGCCCATGAGTTCCCTCAAATCTGAACTTGTTCATTTGGATGTCTGGGTGAATGGGCTATCTTGAACATTGAAATTTTGAGATTTTGGTAATGTACCCATATATTTACATAGTTACTCATTCTCTCACATAAGAGAGCAACTCGATTTTTAAAATCAAGGCTCAGTGATCTTCCAGTTTAGGTAAAAATTAAGGGTTTTAAAGAAAATAATATTTAGGGTTAAGAAAACAGTATTAATGAGATGTTGCTTTCTGCTTAGGGTTTGCGTTCGTTCTCGTTGTTGGGATGCCTGTATGGTTGTGGATGGAGGAACTTCTTTTGAGTTTAATGATGGAGCAATTGCTTCAATGATGATCAATAAAGAAGATGAGCTTCGAACTGTGCTTCTAGAACAGTGAAGGATTTCCTTGGATGACAAATTTTGATTACCAGAACAATACTTTTACTACAGAAACAGAGTACTGGTCATAAAGCTACATTTTTTGGTTATTGTTGAGACTGGTTGGCCCTTGGCTGCAAGATGACTAAGAAAGTGAGATTTGCATTATTCTTTTGAATTCTGATGGAAAAGATGTTCACTAAGAAAATGGATGGACTAAACTGTTTAGAATTGATACCAGTGAAATTTCTATATTACTTAACGATTGGTATCGAAGAGTATTGATATCTTTTTAAACTTAGGGAGGTAGGTTCAAATAAAGGATTAAATGTTTAGGATTTGAAATTTAACTGTACAACTTTTTTCCCTTTCCTCTTAACTTTGTGGAATTGGTCAGAACACACACACATCATTTGATTAGTGTATATTTTTTTATAGCACCTAAAATCAAGATTTTAAAAAAATTTTGATGGGGAATTTTGATAAATCCTGACATTGACCTAATTGAAGTAGGTAAGTGTGTTTTTATATGTGCTAAGAATTTTCTAATTCCAGAACACAATGTTATTATCACTATTGATTTAAAAAATGAGGGAACTTTTAAAATTATAGTTTTCATTTAATTGACTTTCAGGTTAATTTTGACAATTGCTGGGTGAAATACATATAACTGGACAAAATCATGATGCTATTACAAGCGTATTAATTATTTTAGGTCACAGATGATTTTTTTAAAAATGATTTGAGTCTAATAGATTTCTTCCATATTTAAAACTAACATGGATTCAAAGACTAAAAAGTTGAACTGATTAAACATACTATTAGGAATTTGTTCAAACTGTTAAAAAATATTTTCACCTAGTGTTCAGGAGTATTGTCAGAAAAAAATGGATTATTTAATAAATATGTAAAACACTTTAGTTTTGGAATTGCTCTACTTTTTAATATCATCACCATTTTCGCCTAGCTCGTATTATAAGTTTTACACATTAGCTTTGGAGGCAAAGATGTTATGGCTTTTCTTTTCCCTGCAACTGAGAGTTCCTTTATTTTGGAAGGAAATTATTTTTATCTAATTCTTTATCTACATATACGTCATCTTATCAACCATTGGTATTTTCATGCCATTTATTCAAATTTGTATGTTTTTTTACTTGCTGTTAACAATCATTGAAATATTTATTGAATACCCATTCTATTCCATGTACTCTATCAGGTGCTGGATATACATTGATCAATGAAACAGACAGTATCCTGATAAAACTTGAGTCTAGTGAGCTCAGAAGTAAACTCTGTAAAAGCTAGTTTGATAATCACATTGAATGCTCTTAGTTTTGCCAATATTTAACATGTTCTTATCAAATTTTTTTATATAAATGTTAGTATAGAAAGGTAATCTAGGTTTTGATGTATATCCAGAAGAATAATGTTTTTTTCTTAGTTAAGAGTATCTGCATAGACACTCATTAGCGAAGAGTTTATATGATGTATACAGTAAAAATAAGTTTTCCCACAGCTGGATCTAGTTTCTGGTTTGATTTAAAAAACGATATACTTAAGATATACTTTATAAAGAAGTGAAATTCCACACTGTAAAACTCCCCTAGTAGGTTTAAAATGCCTTCTTGACAAAAATGCCAACTCTATCTTTAAGATCAAGATTTCATTGTCCATAATAGTACCATAGATCTGTTAATATGTAACATATTAAGTAACCTGCTATGTAAAATTGTTCATAAGCTATATTTTAAAGGTTTAAAAAATGCTTAATGTGTTCCATTTGCAGTATAACTTTTAATATTTCTGCTGTGTGGTGGGGATTTATTTGTAAGAGACAATGAGGCAAAAGATGTTGGAATAGCAAAAATGTTTTTATGAATTAACCTCTCTAATGGCAACTATATATGTGAATAAAATTAAAACAATTATCTATTCTTTTTAATTTATTTCCTTAATTCTTATAAGGTCATTTGAAAACCAGAATTTCCCAAAACGTTTGAAAAATCTTTTCCCCCACTGCTATGTATTATTCTGTGCCCTCTTCATTTCATTCACTGCTAATCTTTGACACAGAACCGGGATTTGTTATGTAATCTGAGGGTAAAGTGCTCACCTTGTGTGTAGACTCTTCAGATAATTTTGACTTCATATTTTTGATGCCCCATGTATATTTATATTCATGAGCCCAGTAAATCAAATCACGAGAAGAGCAGTGGTAACAAAAGAGGAAGTGGCCTTTTTGCTTGTTCTAGGGTTAGTGTATCCAGTGGAAAGAGGTTTCTTTCTAGTTTTTCCAGCGCCTTTCTGTCTGTGCTCTGCACTTTCCCCCGTGCTGTTGTTCCAACAGTATTCTCCACAGTGTAGATCTTTAGTAAATACTGGACTGCAAGTGAGTTCATGAGGATAGAAGGAACACAGCATTGTCACTTTATCCAGAAATAAAAATTCTGCATCTGGCCAGAGTGCCTCTCATTTCTCTGCAACTTGTGGCTAGGGTACAGAAGAAGGAGGAGTCAATGGCTAGAGGCAGATGTTAACATCATGAAAAGAATGACAGCCAGAAGTTATGTGTCTCTTGATGGAAGAACATAATACTACCTGTCAGGTATCTCCTTGCTTAAAAAAAAAAAAAAAGAAAAAAGCCTCTAGATCAGTGGCACTATTGATGTTCTGGACCAGATACTTTTTTGTTGTGGGAAGCTATTGTGTTTATTGTAGGGCAGTTAACAGCATCCTTAGTCAAGCTCTACCTGCTAGGTACCAAGAGCACCTCTCCACTTGTGACAACCAAAAATGTCTTCAGAGGTTACCAAATGTCTCTTGGGGTGCAAACTCACCCTTGGTCCAGAGCTGTTTGCTGACAGATCGAACTACCAGTTTATGGAAATAGGAGACAGATTAACCTGCTAAATACCACTCCAGGGATTATATCATCAAAATCCAGAATGTGGAACACAGGATAAACAAATGACCTAGTTTCCTCAATAAATCAATTCCAAGGGGAAAAAAAGGGAGGAACCTAAAGATTAAGAGTCTTAAGAGAATGTCAGTCAGTCCTAGCCAGAGCAATTAGGCAAGAAAAAAGCATTCAAATAGGAAAGGAAGTAAAACTCACTATTTTGCAGTTGACATGTTACATATACAAAACCCTAAAGACTCCATCCACCAAAAAAACTGTTAGAATAAGTGAGTTCAGAAAGTTTCAGGATGCAAAATCAATACATAGGAATCTGTTGCATTTCTACATACTAATAACAGACTTATCAAGAAAAATTTTAAAAATCCCATTTATATGTATATCAAAAAGAATAAAATACCTAAAAATAAATTTAATGAGGTCAAAGACCTGTACACCAAAAACTAAGACATCAATGAAAGATATTAAATTAGACAAATAAATGGAAAGATATTCTGTGCTCATGGATTGGAAGAATATTGTTAAAATGTTCATGCTACTCAAGGCAATCTGCAAATTCAGTGCAATCTCTACCAAAACTCCAATGGCATTTTTTCACAGAAATAGAACAAACAATCTTACAGTTTGTATGGAACCACAAAAGACCCTAAATAGCCAAAGCAATCTTGAGAAAGAACAAAGCTGGAGGCATCATGCTCCCTAATTTCAAACTATGTTACTATGCTATAGTAATTAAAACTGTATGATACTGGCATAAAAAGACACACAGCTCAATGGAACAAAATAGAGAACCTAGAAATAAATCCATGCATATATGACCAATTAATTTATGACAGTGGAGCCGAGAATACATAATAGGGAAAGGACAGTCTCTTTAATAAATGGTGTTGGGCAAACTGGACCACAATCTTACACTATACACAAATATTAACTCAAAATGGATTAAAGACTTGAATGTAAGACCTGAAACCATAAAACTAGAAGAAAAAACTAAGTTCCTTGATACTGGTCTTGGCACCAAAAGCAAAGGCAACAAAAGTAAAAATAAACAAGCGGGACTACGTCAAACTACAAAAGCTTCTGCACAGCAAAGGAAGCCAACGACAAAAGATAATCTACTGACGGGAGAAAATATTTGCAAATCATATATCTGATAAGGGATTAATATTCAAAATATATAAAGAACCCACAACTCAATAGCAAACCCTCCCCCCCACCCCCCCCAAAAAAACCAATCCGATTAAAAACTAGGTAGAAGGTATTAATATATACCACCTTTATCCATTTTTCCGCCAATGGATATTCAGGTTGTTTCCGTATCTTAGTGATTGTAAATGATGCTACAGTAAACGTGGGGGTGCATATACCTTTTCGTTATTTTTGTTACACACACACACACACACACACACAGAAAATGGAATATTATTCAACCATAAAAAATTAAATCTTACCATTGTCACAAATGGTAAGATTTAATTTTTTATGGTTGAATAATATTCCATGGATGGACTTTGAGGGCGTTAAGTGAAATATGTCAGAATGCTTTCTAATTTTAATGATAGTACTTAAGAGAAAAAAGAAATAAACTTAGCTGAAATACTCATTTTTATAAAAATGTGTTTTATTTTAAAACAAGTCTATAAAAGTAGAAATCACATACAAAAATACAGATTACTCTGAACATGTGAGCAAAATAGCTTACGGCTGGACTTGAGTTTGGAAGTACTGCATGTTTGAGGGCATCCGGAAGTCATTCCAACTGGATGCTACCTCCAGCCCTTGTCACTAATCTGTAAACAATAATTTCAAGTAGTCTTTAGCACTCTTTACTAGCAAACCCTCCCCCCCACATTTCTGGTATAACATAATCATTTCTGGTATAATACTTTAAATGTTCTTCCTTAGGTCTACATGGATAAGGGCACTTTATACCATCGTCTCCAACGTTTGAAAAATCTGATTAAAAAAACAATGTTAATAGAAATGATGGGTTTTGGCCTTTTCCATTTTGAACATATAGGGAGGTCATCAATTTAAATAAGAGATTAGTGTTTTGTCTTTTTTTTTTAAGTAGAATTTAATTTTTTTGCTTTTATGTGCCATTAAAAAAATGACTGATGTTATCAAAAGGTTCAACACCTGAGTCTTACCTTTTATGTAGGTGCAAGTTGTGCTTACTGCTCTGAAACTGTGGAACACACACCTGCTTCTGGTGTGTATTTCTGGTTGAGAGGAACATGCAGTTCTTCTCAGAGAACTTCAGGTCCAGTAACCTTATAAAGTGGGTAGTTTCAAACTACTATTCTGGGAGACACTTAAAAAAAGGACAGTTTCAAATACTTGATTCCAGAGTAATACAAAAATAACTTCAAGAACTTCAGCAATAAAGGAAAATGGCAGGCAACTTCAGCATTCCAGCCAACATTTCAAGAACAGAGACGTGTTACTACCAACTTTCTAAAACAAAGCAAGGCATTTTAAAAGCTAAAGAACCCAAGTTAATATAATTTGATCATAAAGTTAGAAAGACCACAATTGTATCTTCTCGGCTAACTTAGAATTCTGGAAAATCAGTACCTTCATTAATGTGATTTAGAGGATACTTCAGGTTAACCTGTCACAGAAAACTGCCTCCTGAGCCTTCAAATTCTGTATCAACTCTGTACCTCTGGTTGGTTGTTTTTTTCATTAAGTTTTTAAGGTGAATTACTCAGGGCTATTTGTTTCCATGAACCTAACTGCAAATCTAAAGGCAAAGTAGAAAGGTGTATTTTTTTTCCTATCCCCCAAAGAGACTGCCTCAAATCTACTATCCTATGATTCTTAATATTCAGCTCACAATTGGAATAGCTTATTATTCTTCCAATCTATGTCTTATAAAGCAATACTAGAAAATTAAATAGAAGAGTTAAGTTACCATATAGACCATGAAAATGATTTGCTGGTGATTTTTAAGCTTGATTCTAAACAGATTTAATAAGAAGGGCACGAGGAAGAGATGGCTCCAATTTTGCTCCTTAAGGTATCTTGAAATTACAAGCTCACTCTCTTGAAATTTCATAAGGCTTACAATTTAGGCTCTTAAGGGCATAGCAGTGACGGAAGCTTTTAGTCATTTAAAAAAGCAACACTTCATAGTTTTCTCTCTTAAATAGTTCTCTAATATACTTGCAGAATGAAGGCGAAGGGAAAACCAAGAATAAAAATAGCTGAGTGCTCCAGCAATTGGGCTTCCTGCCTGTTTGCCCTGTTCCAAAGAAAAAAAGAAGACACCATCCCACAATAAATACTTCACAGACAACTGGGCTTTTGCAGTGTCAGTCGGCATTTGATGCCCCATATCTCCGGGTTGCTTTTGAGGCCAATGGTAGGCCTGGCAATGGCGGTAAAATGGGAGCAATTAATCTGAAGATGAGGGAGGGCTTCCTTTAACAGCTGAAGGGTACTGTCTGGCACGATTCCAAACACTTGTAGTGTTTTTAGTGTGGGAATTTCGCCAAGTTCACTGGAAAGGAATAGAGAGAGACTTTCAGAGAAGCAGTATCTATGGAAACTGTTCCACTAGAGTTACATGACCCAATTTTGACAATTTGTATCATAGTCCATAAAATGCAAACTGAAAACAAACATAACTTGCAATCGGTGATTTAAGAAAAGAGCAAAGGTGAATCAAACTACAAAGTACGGGCCACAGTTTGGGCAGTAAGGCCTGAGGAAACGTGCCAGTGCATTTTGTTGAATTTCTAACAAGGTTTATTTAAAATCCAACCACAGTTGCCTCTTTTCTCCATTCTTGATTTATACTGAGAGGTGTCAGTGTGTTATGAGGAGAAGGTAGCAAGCTGGCGATGGGAAATGTTTTACTGTGGCATCGGTTGGAAACTACCAAAGGTTACATGCGATTTAAGGGCATGGACTTGACTTCAGTCTCCTCCTCTCAAAAGGAGATGTCCGCAAGGTCGACAACTTCTTAATCATGGTTAACAGTCCACGAGTCCATTGTATGTGGTGGAACCTAACAGTGGCTTCACTAAGATATTTTAGACACAGTTATGTAGTTGGGTGAATGTGGAGAAAAGGGGAGGCAATAGCCATTTTACCTCTCGACATGTGACCATTTTTTTCTGTCACATATAAGCTAATATTCTTAGGTGTTTCACGTATGGTGTAATATAATTCTGTCAACAGTGAAATTCTGGTTCACAAAAAAAGGGAGCACATTTACCCCAAATAAATACTTTTTTGGTAAAATTTCTTTCTTCTTAACCCTGATTTTGTGTGCTTGGAAATTTATCTCTCTGATCTGTATTTGTTCCAGATTGGGACACACAGTACAAAGTCTCAGGAAAGGGAACATTTAGTTTGGAATTTTAACAAAATCTCACTGCAGATCAATGAACATATCAATGACCTAGAGTCAGAAGCATCCTTTGTATTTTCACATTGCCAGTAATTCCTTAAAAAATAAACCTTCCTTATAATAATTGTCGCCTTGCCTCCAATTTTTCTTCCTTCCAGCCTATTTTATTTACCAATGTCCAAGGCACCTTCCTAAAGCCTAGCCCAGACTACATCACTCACTGCTTGAAAAACCTTTTACGCTCTCTTCCTGTTTATGGAACTCAAACTGTTCAGTGGCCTTAAGACCTTCCATGCCTAACCTGCTCGTCCAGTCTTCCTATTACTGCTCTAAGTGTAGTTATTCTACATTCAACAAAGTGCCTTAAGCACCAAAATATTTAATATTTGTTAGCTGAATACAATGTGAAGAGTAATTTAGAAAGTAAAAGTACTATCCAAATTAAGTAAATATGCTTTGTGTTCCTAAGAGGACAGACAGTAAGACCTGGAGGTCACGATAGACCTACAAGAAAATCAGGAAGAACACATCTTTGTTCTTAAAGTCAACTAATCTCTGGAATATAGAAACAGGAGCATAAACAAAGGTCACAATACATAGATGAGTTATACTTATTACTTAGGATGACAGCAATCCCTCCCCAACCGTAAATCCTCTTACGTGAAATGTATAATAGCCATGAGAATTTTGGTTCTGGGATATCCAAATTAGCCAAATCCTAAGTCATTCTGCAGTGGACAGTATTTAAAAAAGGAAATTGGGTGGGAGTAAGAGAAGGAGATACAGCAGATGGCAGAAGAGGAAATGTTCTTGCAACAGCATTGGGAACGAGCCTTGGTGAGGAAGGAAATTAGATCAGACTCTTCGAAGATACTCGGGTGCTATATGTGAGGAGGGCGTGAGCTGTGTGAGATGAGATGAAGGATGAAGGACAATTCCCAGGCTGAAAAACCAGAAAGTCTTAAGAAAAACAAAAAGCCTCAGTATATATCACCCACAATACAGCAGAACACATTTGGAAGCTTCTCTGAAAATATAATGGAAAAGACCAGAAAGCAAACTAAGAGATGGAAAATAGAAATGAACAGGTTAAGAGCTATTATTTCTAATTTAAGAAGTATAAAATGACAATAATGTCTTAGGTATTTTGTTTAGTTTTAGTCAACGGAAGAGATTTATAAACCCTTTCACAGGTTCACTTCTTACCTCATCTACATAATCCTGTTTTCCTTTTAAAATCTTAAATCCCTCAACTTCCACAAGAGTTTTTTATTCAGACTCTCCTAGTCTCGGACCAGTTTACTATCTCCAGTTTGAGTTTCTTAATTAAATGAGAAATACAGAATAGTTAGAAGAAAGTTTAGACTTAGGGAATCAGACCAATTAAGGAGTAAGGGAAGAAACAGAATGAGGGTATGGCCTGAGGAAGAAAAACCTACAGTTTCCCAAGCATTTTAAAGCATTACTGTTACAGAAGAAAGACACTCAAATTTTATTCTCCTACTTCTGAGATAATAAAAATTCTTCAGCAGTAAATGGCTCTTTGGAAATTATTCCAGA